GATTGGAGTCACATCGCTTGACAGCATCAGATATTACTTTTCTAAATCGAATTGTATCTGGTTCAGATTTGCTTACATACGCCGCTGTATATTCGGCAGCTTCGTACGCATTTCCAATGAATTGAATATCCATATTTGCTCTCCAACTGCTAAGTAGAATAGGTTAATAATTATTTACTGATGGAGATGTCCGTTTTAAATCAACTGTAATTAAAGGTGTTCCATCGAACGCGTGTTTTACTTCGACTTCAGTGTGGTACCTCCGTTCCTTGGCAAATCTACAATTTGTATCCTTCTTTCGACACGACGATCCAGTTGAACAGTTGTGTTGTTGTACACGGTGGATTAAGTGTGATAAATAACAATTCCATGTATCTGAGGCACTAGAAGGAGGTCTGAAAGCAATAATATCTATATCGCTTGTTCTCACATATTGCACATTGGCATTTTTCAAGACCTCTAACGGGTTTGGTGAGAACCGATACATGACTATCCATAACGTGAGTTAGGTCCAATTTTCCTAGTTCCGTTTCAGACATTGCTATAATGTCAGGCGCGTTTTTGATCCGCAACAGAGCGTGAATGTGAGGTGACCATCTCCTTTGAAATTCTACACTCCAGAAGTTACCTTCGATTTCACCAAGCGGTTTATTTCTATCACAAAGTATATGCTCGAAGAAAGCTTTAAACCTACGACTAAAGAACCGAGATGCAATATCGGAATAGTGGTTAAGTTGTTCTTGTCTTTGTTTCGAGTTTAGATGACGACCGTCTTCCAACGTCCGTGAGGGATCCGATGCAACACCAAAAATCCGGCCAAACAATATCCGCGACACTCAGAATAAGAAAACAACGGTGGCCATCGGCTTGGGATGACTGTTTCCGAGCATTCCATTAAGTCGTCACGGCCATTTGCCCAATAGCGACCAATTCCACGAACACTACAAAACTAAGGCTTTAATGTATCTAAACTTTTCTCTGCTTTAGATCTACACTCCTTATTCACGTTGTTATCAGCAATATTAACAGAAGTAACACCATCAGAAAATATGTCGCGTGGGTTCACACGACGGACTAATCCATCCATTTGCCTCCTTTGTATTGTAACGAGTCGAGGGATGCGACGGCTCAAGATAGAGCATGCGTCGTAGAAGGACAAGGAGCACAACCAGGAGGAGCTATGGGATACAGACCACGAGGCCCGTACAGTGACAGGAAGGAGCAGAAGACACCTGTGCCCAGTGGTGGCGAACAACCGGACGTCAGGCGATATTCTGCCCGCAAGGCGTGTGAGGATACCAGTGGAGCGGATATCGGATCTGGATGTGGCAGTCGAATGGATCGCTGGATGAACAAGGAGCCGTTTGAAGAAGGAAGCACTGGATGGAACCAAGGTGAGGGCTTCGGACAAGACTCAGTTGAGAATTCGAGCAGCAGCGAGCAAACGGGTGAGGACCCGCGCAGCAGCGAGCAAGAGGTTAAGGATCTGCGCAACAGCGAGCAAGAGGTGGTGAACTCGCGCAGTAATGAACAAGTGGGGTTGAAGAGTGCGTTGGGGCTGAACAAGCAAAGTCAGGACTTGCTCAGGGGTGAGCCAGGCACGACGAAAAACCTGCTCGTGGAAGGGCAGAACCACAAGCGAGTGAAGCGTCAAACCAGCGTGTGGACGAGAGTTGCCGGTGAGCACCGGACTTGGACTGCGTACAGCGGGTGTGGGATTGCGTTGTGAGGTTGGGGCCTTCGACGAACCTGCGGAGGACGCGTACTACGGGAAGATTAGGAACGGCAGCAAGAGGCTAGTGGCTCTAGTCTACGAAAGAAGAGGAGTGTATTAAGAAGAGAATAAATAGGATCGGACGATCCGGCGCAGTAGCTACTTAGCTATTGTCGGCCAATAGGTGTTACGAAGTCGAATTTTAACGTTGGGGTTGGACGCAGCGAAGACTTAACGACCCTGCTCAACGGATCGGGCAGAACCAGAAAAACAACTAGATTTACCACAGTATCAAATTTAAACAAAAAACTTGAATGGGCTATGATTTGCAATTCTACGATCGCTCCATTTCATGAGATGGCAGCAGTAGTCCGGTAAGCTACATTCATGAATTCGGAATTCTGTTCTATACCGAGTTCAAGCCTCCCATACTGTAGTGGGCCTAGGGCTCACTAGTTAGCTTGCACGTGTGCGCACGTGTAGGAGGAAGCGTAGGTTTTCCTAGGTTCTATAGTGTACACACGATGCGTGTGTACAGTAAGAGGAGATAGAGACAGATAGCGAAAAATGAGAACTGTTATTATTGTTTAAAGTGTTTCCTTCCTAAACAGATTATCTAATATCAATAGGACTGTCATCGAGTGGCTGACACTGATCCGCATCGTTGGTTGGTAGGAGTGTGGCGCACTCTACCAACAGGATCTCTTCAAATGCAGTTTTGGTGTGTTCACACACCAAGACAGGAAACCTCTAACTCTAATCGGTTAACGTTACGGTTAGGGTTTTGTGTAACCCCGTTACACCCCCGTTAAGATTTGACATGCCGGTCACAACACGTCAATCCAGGCTTTGACAAGTCCGTCAAACCTCCGAGAGAATTCTGCGTTCATTTCGAAATGAGCGCCGCACTGCAAACACCAGTGTCATCGCCAGTGTCCGCGTCGACCTCAATGTCAACGCTTGTGATTGACCCCGCGTCTGCACCGACCTCCGCGTCGGTGCCTGCTTCCGCACACGTGTCGGCGGTAACGCCTACACCTCTGAGTCGAACGACAGTCTCCGTCGACAAGTATTTCGATCTTGAAGGGAAGAAACTCGAGCTCGAAGCGAAGGAGCGCGCTGGAGCTGCGAAGCCAGAGAGTCTTAATACTGCCTTCGATGGTTCGTCGATCCTCGCAACTGGCGGTGGTATCGCCGTGGACTACGAGGATGGAGAGCTTGAAATCGAGGGTACCTCGTCTTCCCTGGCACATGAGCCCGAGCCCGCGTCTGGGACTCCCCGTCCTCGCGAAGACAATTCGGACACTTCCTCGTCGAAGCGTCCGCGAAGTGAAAGTGATGCAGTGCCTTCCAGACTGGAAGCACTTGTCATCACCTCGAAGCAGCGTGATGCCACGCGCACTGACGACACAGTGCGCGAACCTTGGATGCCTCGATGACCGTTATGGAGCTTTGGTACCTCCGAATGAGATACCGTTATACGCCGACAATCGAATTGTCGACGACGCCGAAGCTGCTGCGAAGCGCTTCGATCCGACGACGAATCAAAGGCGTGGTTACTACATCTCGTTCTTTCACGAGCTCCAGTACTGGAGCTCGAAGACGACTTCTGGGCGAAGCAGAGTGACCGGGTGGCAGGTACTCTGTTAAAGCTGGAACCAGTTTGTTTCGAACTTCACCAATGGTCTGGCGCTTATCGCGAGCGGATTGCTTCTGAGCGTTTCATGAGGTTGTCTAAACCTTTTGTCGTCCAGCGCGTTCACGAAGGTTCTGTGAACGCGAATATCCCTTGTGCAGTGCCGGAGGGTGTTCGCTGGTGCTCCCCGCATCAGTGAGAGAGACCTCACCGGGTACACGACTAACCGTGTACCTGCAAACGTTAAGGAGCTACGTGCTAATCTCGTTTACATGCGTCAGCATACTAGTGTTGTGCCTGAGCACAACACCCCGCGAAACACTGCACCCCGCTGTGTTATGCCTCCAGTCCATGGTGGACTTCGTACGCCTTCACCATTTCCGGAACGTCCGTCATCAGGACGTTTCAGGGACGAATCTCGAAGTAGACCCGATTGTCTCCAACGAGTACGAAACGAACCGGACCTCGGTCTGTCTTCGGACTGGTATGATCAACGATCCGATCCACCTCGCGGTGGATCGTGCCGCGGACAGAGTTATGCCTCCTGTCAGCGGTGCTGGACGCTCATCATATGGTCAACCCCGGGTTGACCACGGCCTTCAGGCGCTCCACGCTCGCGTGGAGACGCGTTCAGGTTTCTCAGATGGCTGACCTGAGACAGGAGCTGTTTTTGCAGAAGGCCTACGTGACCGCAGCCGCTCAGACCACCTCAAACATCCGGGTTGAGGTGTTGGAACAAGTTCGCCTTTTCCAGTAGAAGGTGAAGCGGCTTGAGGAGAAGCTGAGGACGGGCCGCGCGTCGTCGTCGTGTCATCACGACTAGATGACTCGGGATGCACGTATGGCCTAAAGCGCCCAACGTAGAACGTTGGGTGGAGTCTCATGTCGGAAGGAAGTTCCAACGCGTATGCGCAGCCGTGACGTTCAGTCACCGTGAACGGTCCAATGAAGCGCAGAGCAAGCTTGCTTGCTCCGCATCCAGAAACGGCATGAGTAGGCAAGTTTGCGTAGAAAACAAAATCTATGAAATTTTTTTGAATTCATTTGTATTACCCCTGTCAACATTGTCTGCGTTCAGCTTCTGTCTATCCGCAGAAGCTGCAATTGCATCTTGTACAAAGCGAACGACTGCTTGTCGTTCGTGGACAAAGTCCATTGCTTGAGAGCTGAACCCCGGGTCCAGTTCGTTGATCTTGTCCGCGTCTGTGCCCTGCACAGACTCGCCACTTGCAGTCGCATCAGTCCCTGACTGTGCGTGGCTCTTTGGAGTGCCACTTTGTGTGTGATCGCAACAGGCCCAGCCTGTGGGTGAGTTTTCTTGGTGTCTGTGCCCGGCACAGACACATTGTCCTTGGCCGCAGCGGGTGTTGCCTGCTCGTGGTTCTTCACAGTGTCAGTGTGTGGCACTGACACGTCGCTTGGTTGTGTGCGGGCTCTCGCTCGCGCACGTGTCATCGCAGCTGATAGGTTCGTATCAGCTGAATTCTGCGGTTGTTTGCGTGCAACCGTAGATCCTCCCCCACTTAAAGAGGAAGGCACCGCTCCGAGTGTACTCGGAAGCCGTGGATGCCGCATGAAGAACGGTGTATGGCCCGTCGATGCATGTACCGCGTTGTTGATGGCGAACTCGGCCATTGGTAAGTAGTCGCTTCAGTTGTGGAACGACTGGGCATAACTTTTCAGCAAGGCTACAAGCACGCGGTTCACGCGCTCGTTTTGCCCGTCCGTCCTCGGATGATCTGCAGTCGACACAGAGAACGGTGTTCCAAGAAGTGAGAACACTTTTTGCTAGAAACGCGCAGTGAAGCGCGGATCGCGGTCCGACACAAAGTCGTTGGGCATGCCATGGTGCTTCAACACCATGTCTACGAACAGACGTGCCGTCTGTACGGAGGTCACCTCCGCTGCGACAGCAGCGAGATGCACCATCTTGCTGAAGCGGTCTACAAAGACCATAATACCAGTCTTCCGCCTGGAATCGCGCGGAAGACCAAACACGAAGTCCAATGAAACGGACTCCCAACACTCCGACGGAGTCGGCAGTGGTTGCAGAGGAGCCTGCGAGTGAGGCGCAGGTTTCACACGCTGTCAAACATCGCAAGTACGTACGTACTTGCGCACCCACTTGTACTGGTGGTTCCAGTAGAAGTCTCGCGTGAGAAGAGAGTATCCCGGATGTCCTGCTGTGGGGACATCGTGGTACTCGTACATGATCCTGCTGCGCTGGTCAGGATCGTTTGGCACGACAATGCGTTCCGCATTGTCGTCTACAGCGCTGTAAGCAGTAGACCGTCGTGCACACGATACCAGTGTGCACTTGCTCGTAGGCGAGGGGCCAACTTCCGACGTGCTTTGTCGGAAGGAGCTAAGAGAAACTCGATCAGCTGCTTCGCGGCTGCGTCATTTGCACACGCGGCCTTCACCTCGTCTAGCAAGGACGACGACGGTGTGTATATCCGAGCGACGTCAATCCGGTTGACGTCGGCTGTCTTGACAGCGTAATCTGGTCGTCACGACGATGCGTCTGCGACAACATTCAACCTTCCGGGTTTGTACTCGACCCGGAAATTGTACTCCGCGAAGAAGGACAACCATCTCGCCATTCGTTGCGCGATGTGCGGAGACGTCACAGACGTCCGTAACGACGCGTGGTCTGTATAGACCACAAACGGCGTGTTTCCGAGTAAATACACTCGGAACTTCGTGAGTGCATACTTCACGGCAAGGGGTTCCTTGTCATGCACAGGGTAGTTACTGTAACGGGGTTACACAAAACTCTAACCGCAATTAACCGGTTAATGATAATAGACGACTCGATCACAGCCCTCGTGATCGAGTTGAATTAACGCACATCCGATCGCAAAGTCGGATGCGTCACACACTACGTG